GCCCGGCCCCGCTCGGCGCGGCTCCGCTCGGCTCGGCTCGACGCGGCCCCGCTCCGTTCAGCTCGGCTCGGCTCCACTCGGCTCGCCCCAGCTCGCCCCGGCGCGGAGGCTCCGCCGCGTCCGCCGCAGGATGCCGGGGCCCCGCGGGCTCTGCCTGCTCGCCCTGCTGCTGCTCGGCACCCCCGCGGCCCCGCGCCCAGGTAAGCGGGGCGGAGCGGGGCGGAGCGGGCCGGGGCTGCGGTGCTCCCCGGGGCCCAGCGCCTCCCGGCTCCGGGGAGTGGGCACCGCCCGGGGCGGGGGGATGCAGCCCGGACGGGGAGCGGGGAGTCGGACCGGGAGGGTCTGCTGGAACTGGCCGTGGCATCCTCGGCCGGGAACCCCTAGCTTCTGCTGCTCCTGGGGCCGGGGTGAAACTTCTGGCATTGCGGGGGAGCGCAGCGGCAGCGGCAGCGGAGCGGCAGCGGGCGCGGGCCCGGCGGGACGCGGAGGCTCAGCACCGCGGGGCGGACAGCTCCCGCAGCTCCGGGAACCGCGTTCTAACGGGGAGCCGAGGGCTAAAGGGGCCGCGGCCTCCCGGGAGCCGTGCCGGACCCTCCGCCTACCTCCCGCAGGCAGGCAAGCCCTATGTGTCCCCAGTCCTCTGTCTGTCCCCAGCCCCCGGGGTCCTCACTGCCAAGTCCCCACCGGTGTTCCTGTCCCACCGTCTCGGGCTTGCAGGGGGTGGCCGTGAGGGGGTGTGTTTATCCAGGGGCTGCATGTTCATTCCGCGTGTGTCACGTTTCCACGCAGACCCGCTCCCGCTCCCACCGCCGCGATGACAGACCTAAGAATAGGCTCCGGGACGTGCTCGCGGGTGACTTGGCAAAGTCATCACAAACTCGCGTGGGGCTTAAACATGACAAAAGTGGTGCCTGTATCCGATCCCTCGGCACTGGTGGGGTGCTGGGATGAGGCAACTGGGCTTGAGTGTGTGTCCAGATGGGGTTACCAGGGCGGACTGTTCAGTGGGAGAACGGGAGAGGCGGGTGTCTGCCAGTGCTGCAGTGTGTGCGGGGCCCGAGGCTGCCCTCCAGGGCTGATGGGGGGTTTATAGCAAGGACGACAAGCTCCAGGTGTCAGGAGTGTTGTGCAATGCTGCCTGCCCTCTTTGGTCCCTCATGTTCAGATTGCATTGAATGACTTTGACTTTTTGGCCTTAAACGTAGCTCTCTAGACAGGGACTGTATTACAGAATCCATCCTTTCTGGGCAGCAAGACAGAAACGAGCATAGAGGATGGCATTTCTCTCTCACCTGCATGGGTTTGTGTTCTGCATATGGACATGCATGTATGTGTCGAGGAATCAGATTCAATGTCCCTGCCAGTCCTGGCATCCTGTTCCAGCATGGGGACACAGAGAGGCATGCTCCTCTGGTTACACAGACACTCTGGTCCCAGCTGGTGGTGGGTTGTGAGTGCAGTGATGGTCCCTGAGCCCCCCGGGGGGGTCTGGAGGAGCTGGGAAGCAAATCCAGCAAGCACAGGCCCAGTGTGGGGCTCACAGCTCCCACACTGCCTCGTGTGCTGGAGGCAGGAGAATTACCCCAGTCCCACTGGGAGCATCAGCAGGCAGCCCAGCTCCCCGGGAACAGGATTTGGCATGATCTGCTGTAAATCTAAGGATAGGAGAACACAGCGTGCTGAACTCCTCTTTCCTTGGCAGAGAGAGAGCTGATAAATTGTTGACCCTTTACAAGGTTTGGTGAATTATTGCTGTAAAAGCTCAACTCCTGCCTACACAGCCTGGAGCCAGCGGTGATGTGGCAGCTCTGCCCGTGCCTGGGAGGGTTGTTGATCTGTGTGGAGGGGGACACAGTTAGGGCCCAGACCAGCAAACCATGCTGTTCTCCAGCTTGGGGGGAGAGCAGGATCAGACCCTGCAGAGTCAGATTGCTATGCTCCATCTGCTGCTCTTTCAGTTCACGCTTTCAAGAAACAACCAATTTCACATGACTTGCACCCATCGGGTGCTCGGCTGGTGGCTTTTGGTGCTCTGCACTGGTGAAGCCATTTAGATCACCAGAGAGGAGGTGTGAAAGCCTCTCCTCTCCTCTCGGCATCCGCTCGCACCCACCCACCGGCACAGAGCGGAACAGGCAAGACAGGCACGTCTCTCCGCAGGGACTTGTGCCAGGAGGCTCCGGGCAGCGGCGTGCGGGGAGCAGTGGTTTGCAGGGAGCACGGTCACCAGCGGGGGTATTTGTTTAGCACCGTGAAACGATGCAGAGGCAAACATGGGGCGTGTGGGCAGCTGAGGGCAGAGAAGGCAATGCTGCCTGTGCTGCCCATGCAGTCTCGGGCTGGGACCGACCCCTGGCAAAGTCTGGTCACTGGGGATGGCAGGGGCACAGTCAGACCCCTGGGAGATGATTTCTACATATACCCCGTTTAGGGTGTCCACTAGAGGCTGTGACGAGACCAGCAAACCCTTCCCGAGGCTGCGGTGCCGGAAGCAGAAACGCAGCCAGGGGTGCTGAGCTTTGGGCTCCTCTGTAGCTTCGTGATCTGTGCCCTCCCTTCTCCGAGGGGTTTGGGTACCCCCAGGCTGGCTGTCACAGTGCAGCACCAAGGCACAGAGATTCCTTTGGCCGCGTGGTGAACGCAGCACCACGGGAGGCTGTTTCCAGAGAATCAGGTGTGTCCAGCAGGAAGAAAAACTGAGCGTGAACTCGGCAAGGGCTGCAACAAGTGCACAGTGAGCTCTCGCGGCAGCGCCCCGAGCAACGAGATAACGGCACAGGGCCAGGCTGCCCGAGGGCTCTGGCCAGAGATATCGGGAATGGGGATTGTCTGATGGAGAGCTATCAGAGGCCATGGCAAATGGCTCCTCTTCCTTCTCTCCTCCTTGGCAGAAAGGACAGGGAGAGCCTGGACTAGGGGCAAATGAAATTAGTCTCTCTTAGCCATCTGCTTCTCCTGTATTTCTTACCATTATGAATATACAAAGATGCCATTTTAAGTGTAGTTTTCTGGATGTCACAGTGTCACAGACATTTCCTTCTGTACATTTTAAACTTTGTCCTTGAGGGATCTGTACCAGGATTTGGGGCTGAGGAGGCAGGCTGCACCGATTCAGCTGAGTGTGCTCCCTTGGCATCCAGGATGCCAGGCAGAGGTCTTGGAAACTCAAACCATGTGAAAAGGGAAGTGCGGAACAAATTAGTGTGTGATCAGCCCTTGGAAGTCAGATTGTGCTGGGTTTGGAGGCTAATGGGTAGTACGTCACAGATGAGGCAGAGGGGTGTCAGGGCATTGCTGGGCAGGTAACGTGGGCATCGAAGTCAGCAGGTGTGAGTATGGCCCATCCTGCCAGCAGGCAGGGATGTTCCATGCTCAGTGCCAAGCACTAGGGTGCTTTGTTATCCCATTCTGTACAAACAGTTGTTTTTTTAATGAAATGAGCTTTGTGTGATTAAATAAGACGCAGCTTTTGATTTTGACTACAAGCAGCCTCAGAAATCCGTGTATTTTCCATCCTCTGTCACTGCAATGAGTGCAGCTGCTTCCAGCGGGCTTTGGGCACAAAAAACCTCAAACCAGACTAACCTTCTGTGACAATCCAAAAGTTATTTACTTGATGCGATTTTATTTTTCAAATATTTGAAAGCAGTTACTGATCAGTAAAATACACTCCAAGGAAATCCTGTTACAAAACACAGGCTCTATTTTAATTAGCATGACGAGGGCGACACGGCTGGAACTGGGGCCTGCCACCGAGTGCATCTTTCAGGAGCTCAGAGATGTCTATAGGAAACACTGCGTGAGCACTGGCTTTCCAATTTTCCAGTCCATCAGGATGGATTTACACTCTTGTCAGGGGTATGAAATTGCTGAATTCAGTGCTGAGAGTTTTGTAGCTTTAACCACTTGGTTTGCCAGGCACAGGGTGCTCTGTGAGATGGGAATGTGTCTGTCCCTGCTCTGGCCCCAAGGACCCACAGCTCTGTGGGGGGTCACCCACTGGATGTGTAGCGGGACACTGGCACCTCGACAGCACCCAGCCTCCTGACCCCACCAGGGCTTGAGTGGGGTGAGCACCAGGATGAACACACCAGTGTGGAGTGTGGGGGCCATGGGCAGTACCCGGCCATGCCCCTTCATTTGTGGGGCAACACAGGAGAAACCTTGGGGTGCAGCTGGTGCCAGCCCTGGCAGAGGGGATGGGGACACACCACCCCTCAGCTGGTGCCCCCCAAAACAGGGGGCAAAGAATAGAGTGAGAGAAGGCTTGGGGGGGCTGTCCAAGGGGAGGGAGGGTTTGGCATCTCTGACTCAGGTTGCTGCCCTTCAGCTGCTGCTCGTAGCTCTGTTCTTCACTTTCCAGAGCCCTTCCCAAAAGAACCTGCTTCACAGGATCACTTTTTCTGCTGATGCACACGTGAGCAGTGCTGGATTGATGGGATGCAGGGAGCAGGTCCGCATGGTGCAGGTGCCTCAGCAGCTCTCACTGCAGCCCCAGGTCCAATGCAGTGTCAGGTAACTCAGCCTGCACGAGCCGGGAGAAGGGAGAGAGAAAGACTTTGCAGCTGGAGTCATTCCCGCTGAGGTGCTCAGGGAAGGAAGGTGTCCTTCATTCCAGGGACAGGCCACCAGCTCCTGGCTGTCTGTCTCCTTTCACAGCTTGTTAACAGACAAGTTGTTAAGGATGTTCTCGTTCTGTCCCATGGGGCTGGTCCCGTTCTATCCGCATCCTGCTCTATCCACATCCTGCTCTATCCATGGATAAAAATACCTGCAAAATGGAAACAGCAGCCACAGAGAGGAGTGAGAATGTGTGAGAGAAAGAGCCCTGTGGATACCAAGGTCAGTGAAGGAGGAGGACGAGGAGGTGCTGCAGGTGCCCGTGGTGCAGCCCATGGTGAGGCAGCTCTGTCCCTGCAGCCAGTGGGGGTCCACAGGGCAGGAGAGATCCACCTGCAGCCCATGGAGGACCCTATACTGGAGCAGGGACCCCGTGGCAAGCCCATGCTGGAGCAGGTTTGCTGGCAGGACTTGTGACACCCTGGGAGACCCACGCTGGAGCAGCCTATTCCTGAAGGAGTGACCCTGTGGCAGGGATCCACAGTGGAGCAGTTCCTGGAGGACTGCAGCCTGTGGGAAGGACCCACACTGGGAAGTTCATGAAGAATTGTCTCCCATGGAAGGAACCCCAGGACTGTCT